AGTGCTTGAAGAACCTTCTGCAACAAGTGCTTTAAACTATTTTTTATTATACCTGCATCATAATCTTAAAATAAAACACGCTGCAGCGTGCGTAATTTGGCCTTTATAGCACGCTRAAATTTTAAAGTTGTCTAGGTAACAAGAAATAGTGAAATGTCTGGACCAATTACAACGTGAAAAAATGTGCTTAACAACGTAAACTAGTAACCGTCTCTACGAAAACGATTCACAAACAACCTTTGATAATTTTATTGTGTAAATTCACATTTTTTTCAATGTTCATAAAAGATCGTAAATGGGAAGGTATAATAAAAAATAGCGTATAACACTTGTTTATAAGCACTTACGATCTTAAACCCGTCGTACGTGTTTTAAAGGCTTGCTTATAAACTAGTATTATAATATACTATTTTTCTATTTTGCCGCTTTATATCATTTTATAAATTAAAAGACGAAAATTTTAATTTTTTTTCTAGAGAATTTTGCGACGGTTGACGACATTTATGTGGAATAATTTTAGGCGCTAGGGAAAAATAAAAATAAATCTTACTTTCACATTTGAAAATGAATAGTGAAGAAAGTACGTCACTAAAATTAAATTAACGCCAACGACTTATTAAAGCACTCAAATAACGTCATTTGGATGATGGAATAGACTTATTCTAACGCAAAATGAAAAAAGTAATTATCTATCTAAGTGCGTGTTATGCAAAATTTCCCTAGGTATACAAAAAAAGTAGAAAAAAAATGTTGAAAGACGAATGAAAAGTGCCTATTCACCATAGATATTCACGAAAAATAGTGAACAAGGAAGACGTTGATGTGGGTGAGTAGAATAGGACGCGGGATTCTGGGACAGTTCGATGGCATGTCGCCGTGAAAGAGATGTTATAAAGTATGCAACCCGTAAATCATAAATTTGCAGACATCCCGTTATTTCGCAGCAAGTTGAATTTCGAAAACATGGTTTTGTTAACATTAGATATGCCTACCTCTCTGGTCGTCTGCAAAATCTTGATCGCAGCAGCTCGTATTCCTTCAGCACTACTTTCTGTAAGTAAACAAAAAAATATAAGTTGATTTTTATTTTCATGTTTTTTTAATGGTTTTGATATGTCAACGTTTGTAGGACATAGAAGATTATTTTTGAAACCTAGTAGCCGAAAGTATTTTGTAGTCAGATCACAAACAATCTTTTGGGGATGGGCAAATTTTAATGTCTCGCAAGGTAAGGTAAAATACCAGCAACATGGAAAAAATGTTAAAAAAGTATTTTTTTTTAATATTTCAAATAAATATTTCAAAGTTATGAAAGTTTTTGAACTTTGACTCTATGTATTTCTGTTGGAAAACTAATTTTCCAATTTTTTTTGATACAGGCTAGTAGAAGAGGACACAAGGAAGCTGTGTGCTAATTTTTAACTTTGTCTAATTTTTGTACTTTTACCACGATACACTTATACCGGTATGCTACGGAGCCATGACGTCACGTGCGAAGCAACTACACAGGGCTGAGCCAAGCCGGTGTGCAATGACTGCAATGTATTGAATAAATTGGTTTTATTTTTTTCTTTTCAAACACATATTAAGAGGTTTTTTCTCAAAAACTTATTCAATTAATGGTAACACAATCATTTGTTTTATTTCACGAATGTTGTTCCTGGTAATACGCGCCTAAATGGAAATTACTGAATGGAATTGCTGAATGGAGTCGACTAAATATAAGTTTATAATAAAAATTTGTTACACTAGCCAAGCGTTTTGTGACAGAAGAAAACAGTTATTTTTTGTCCAATTCTATGTGCTAGATACAAAAATGATAAAGAAAATTCCATAGCACGTCAGATTTTAAAGTTAGTCATTTTAAGATATCATATGTAAGTATGTTCGACAAAATCGCCGAAAAACGAAACACTTAAAATTCATTTTCTCCATTCTCATTTCAATTTTTTCCCCCAAATTTGGGTGCCGTTAGTGACGAGCAAGGGGAAAGGTTCCACCAGGATATATTGACGATGGAAAAGAGGTACCAAGGGAGATGGGGTCCAACTATGATGGGGAATTACCTACTGCTGGTTCCTGATAAGGGAAGTTAAAAAGAAAGTCAGCTTTTGCAAAAAACTCATCTACAGCAGATTTATATTAGAATCTTATACATCTTTCAACATTGTTCTTGTTTAGTGAATAAATTAATTTCTTTCGTCGTCTATTTAATTAATTTCTATTTAAAATGAACAATTTTTACGATAAAATTTGAGAAAACAATTTTCCTGTAACTTAAAATCTGTACGTGATGGAGAATTTTTCTTATTAAATTCGTAATTAGGGATGTTAAGGCACCCTGATTCACGTGTCAATAGATCAATCACGTTAAAAAAAAATGTTGGGTAATCTTAATAGTTTGATATTTAAGTTAAGAGTTTATATTCTCTGAAAATGAAAATAAGTGTAGTGTTTTGGTATTTGAAGTAAATTCAGTTATTTAGTAAAACGTTGCAAAGTTCAACAACAAACTTAAACTTGTGTAAATCTTTTACAAAATGTAGTAACTTTTTTTTTCAAATATTGTCGTTTCACCTATCCGGGGACACACTGTATTAAATAATTTAGTATCTGCATTTTATATTTTTGTTGTTATTAGAGTCTTATTAACGTTCCACTTTTAGTTGCCTCTGATAAAAGGTCCTTTTCAAAATTAAAAATTGTCAAAAATTACTTAAGAACAACACTGTTTTTTTTGACAGATATTTTGTTATAATATTTTACCATGTTTCTGGTATCTTATTTTATTTGAAATTTTTCTCTGGGCCTCGAGTTCTGACACCCTGTAGAAACAAAAGAAAATCTTCGTTTGCATTTTTTGTGATTTATTGTTATCAGCACTTGACAAGTTCTGAAAGACTCTGTATAATATAAAACTAGAAACAGGCTTGAAAAAATAGTTTAATCAGTGAAATAAAAGTCCAACGTACTTTTTTGGAGCAACAAAGTACGTTGATATTTCGGCTTTTTAGTTTTTTTCAGGTCCCGCAAATGGCGTTGCTAAGCCTTTGAAAGTACAAACCTCGCCTACCTTCTATTATAGAAAACAGTACCTAGTTATCAAATACCTACACATGGCACACCTATATCATAAAATACAGGATGTCCGGAAAGTCGCGCACGTTCGTGACCCTGTATCATGTTAAAAAAAATCTATCTATAAAAATTTCGGACTTAAGCGAATTTAAATTTTGCACTTTGACTTTATTTATTTGTGTTGGAAAAATGATTTTCTAAATTTTTCAAGTAGAGGCTATTAGAAGAGGAAACAAGGAAGCTGTATCCTAAATTGTAACTTTGTTTAGTGTCATTTGTGGCTTTTATTGGCAAAATTTTTGTACCTGTACTAAATAATTATAAAAAGGTTTATTATGGCCACAAAAGTTTTATTATGGCCACAAAAGGTATGTACATCATTAATGCATAATTTTTTTCAAAAAATGGTTTGTTAAATTTTTCATTAATAAAATTATCTTTCCATTTAACTTGACGTTTGTCAATTCACAATAAATGGCAACTTAATTCGAATTAGTTTAATAATTATGAACTAAATTTTTATTTCGCTTTCTGTAAACTGGCTCCTAGAGGAATTTATCTTGAAACTACGTCAAATTTGTAATGCGATAATTTACGACCCTGCCTTCTTGTGGTTAGAAGGGTCGGCATCCCAGCAGGCACTGGTTTATTGAGGCGTCATTTTCACTTTGTTCGACTGTACAATGGCTACAAACGGTGCTTCTACCCTTCAATGTGTTTATAAAGTGATGTTAAGAAAAAGGAGTTCTAAGATTCAAAGGTTGTATATAGAACGTTTTTAAAATATTATCATCTTACAAATAGTTTTTTTTTTTTGTAAATATCTATAAAGATAATTTTGTCCGTACGGTAAAATTGTCACTTTACGCATGGCCAAGCCACGGCCGTGCGTAAAATACCCAGGCGACTGTAAATACAGTCTTTCAATATTGTACGTTAATTTGACATTTATATGTCGGGAGGTAACAAAATGTTAAAAAAGTTTTATCTGTCAAAGATTTTTGACATTTGACATTTTTTTATGTCTATTTAATGATACTGCTGATCTTGTAAATGTTTTTTTTTTGGCCTCCTGACATGTAAATGTCAAATTAACGTACAATTGACACCTATTGAAAGACTGTATTTACAGTCGCCTGGGTATTTTACGCACGGACGTGGTAAAGTGACAGTTTTATCGCACGGCCAAAATTATCTTTATAGACATTTATAAAAAAAAAATTGTTCGAAAGATGATAACGTTTTTAATAAAACGCTCGATACACAACCTTTGAATCATAAAACTCCTTTTTCTTCACACCACTTTATAAACACATTGTACTGGGCTTCATACATTGCTCGCGATTTTTCGGGAAATAGCTCGGTTGAAACAATTTCTGCAGCACTTCTGATTTCTGGTGGGGTACACATGTGGCTATCATCACTCGATATTTTGAAGTATAAAGTCACCACCAAGTCAACGATAACAAAACTTCGTGTCTGAGACGTTTTTGCGTCTTTTTTAATTGTTTGACATTAGAGCGCATAGCTACCGTGATAATTATTGTGAAACGAATTTATTTGTATTAATTCTGAATTTTCTAATTTTGGATTTTTGTTTAAAAGTTGGCCAAAAAGCTTAATACAAATCTTGTGCGTTACTTGACATAATTTTTCTAACTGATCCAAGTACAAAAATTTCTTATACCTTTCATTTATTGAAACTATATGATACCCGATTTACATATTCCATCACGTCAAGTTTGCGAAGTAGCATACAGGTGTCCGTTCTTCGAGCTCCACCATGGGATCTCAGTTATTATTATAGGAGAAACGAGGTCGGATTAAGACAAAGTTGATCATTTTTATGCTGAACAATAATCTGAATTTGGCATTTTTAGTTTTTGAATTATTGGAAAAAACGGAACTTTGTAATTTTCGTTTTTATTTTTTTAAGCGAAAACTAAAAGACCTAGACGTTTTTAACTAGGACGTTCTTAAGACACTTTTTTACAGGGAATCTAAGTCTGTCATTGCATTTTCCAAAGCGCTCTTGATGGCGGAGTTACAATACTCAACTAATTACTCCAGATTAGGTGATTTCACTGCAGTTATAAACAAAAATATTAAAAATGTCGGGTAGTGTTACTACGCTGCGCGTCGTGCTTCAAATTCATTTCGCTCTGTAAAATGTAAGTTACCGCACACGAATGTATGCGGGCATATGATGGCCGTACCTTTAAGCTTTTTGTAACCTGGTTAGTATAATTTGGTAACCGTTCTATTTTTGTTAAGAACAGTCATTATAATTTTTAAATTTTTGAGTGTACTTACCAAGAGTAACCTCTGGTAACTCAAATGGAGAGCCGGTTAGTAGCGGTAACAAAATCTAGAATGAAGTTATGTGTAAGATCTTGACAGTACGTGCTTTGGTTAAAAGATAATTTAGAATTTAGAAATAATAAATATGGAAATAAAGCAAATAGAAATTACAATTAATTATAAAATAATTAACGTGCTGTGTCAAGTTGATTTGTAAATAGCCCAATAAAGTTTGTCTACATTTAATGAATGTGTGAAATTAATTTTATGGTGCAATAGAAGCAAGTAACTTTTTGGGATTTTAGCGATAAAAAAACCCCAACCTCTCAATTGGAAAGGTTTGTTTTCTTTGAGGTTGCCTCGACGGCTAGCTGGTCTTTTGGTAACAATGGCTTTACAACCACCCTCGTTAAATCCCTCATAAACTAGTTCGGTAAGTCAAAACCATAAAATTCGAGCAAATATACAGGCTGTTCCGTCTAAACTCCACATTAAAAGTACTATTGGGAGTTCGAATAATCATATTTGTTTGAAAATTGGTACATAGCCATAATGCATTAAGTCCTCCTAAATGATAATATTTTCAAGATGGCGGCACTTCCGCTTATACCGCTTATATATATTTTAAATGGAAAGCTATATTTTTTACTGCGTTTTTGGATTAATCGGTTT